GAAATATCTGCCAAAACCAATATAAATAAATAAATAAATATTACCCAAAATATTATAATTTTGCCAATATCGATTAAAATATCAAATATCTGCCAATACCGATAAATAAATAAATATTGCCATAAATAACAAGTATCTGCCAATACCAATTAGAAATTGCGTAAGAATATCAATTAATTATTAATTATTAAATACATATTTTCAAAAACATTTGCAAATATGATTACAAAATAAATTAATTAATAAATATTGCAGGAAACATCAAATATCTGCCAATATAGAATGAATGAAATATTGCCAGAAATACCAAATATCTGAGAAAATAAACAAACAAATAAATAAGTAAGTAAGTATTGGCCAAAATATAAAATATCTGCCAATGATTTTTTAAAAATTAATGAATTAATATTACCTGAAATATCAAATATTTGCTAATATCGATTTAAAAAAAAAACAAATTAATACTACCAGAAATATCAAATACCTGCCAATACAAATTAAAAAATATTTAAATAAATGAATAAATGACATCATCTGTTTAACACTGAAGCCTCTTAGCAAAACCAGCATATTTGCTTCAAAAAGGCTTTGCATTGTAGAGGTTAGTCTGTTTTAGGGCTGGATGACCTGTTTGTCCAAACCATGCAAGACTATAAACCATTCTGGCAACCCGTTCGAACACAATCATTATTTTCACAATCAATAGATTTGGTGATGACAAAATTGACAAAAAAGATGAAGCGATTTTCCTGGAGCGTCTCATTTCAATCAGACGGTCCATGTGGTGTTTCTGGGTGTCAGCGCTGCACTCCTCACAAACAGATGGATGTCTTTATGTTCGTCTGCATGCGAGCGTGTGTTTCCGCTGGCATAGAGTTACTGCGTGTCATCACTTCAGACCAAAACGCCAACAAACCAGCGATGAACGCGAGGCCTGGGACTCTGACAGACACGTCACATCGGTGTGATCAGATCACACTCACACACCGATGACATGAAGATCAGAATAGAGACGGGCCGTTCATCAGCCATTCCTTTATTTTGTGTCTGTCAAGGGAAAGTAAGTATTGGCCAAAATATAAAATATCTGCCAATGATTTTTTAAAAATTAATGAATTAATATTACCTGAAATATCAAATATTTGCTAATATCGATTTTTAAAAAAAACAAATTAATACTACCAGAAATATCAAATACCTGCCAATACAAATTAAAAATATTTAAATAAATGAATAAATGACATCATCTGTTTAACACTGAAGCCTCTTAGCAAAACCAGCATATTTGCTTCAAAAAGGCTTTGCATGGTAGAGGTTAGTCTGTTTTAATTTAGGGCTGGATGACCTGTTTGTCCAAACCATGCAGGACTATAAACCATTCTGGCAACCCGTTCGAACACAATCATTATTTTCACAATCAATAGATTTGGTGACGACAAAATTGACAAAAAAGATGAAGCGATTTTCCTGGAGCGTCTCATTTCAATCAGACGGTCCATGTGGTGTTTCTGGGTGTCAGCGCTGCACTCCTCACAAACAGATGGATGTCTTTATGTTCGTCTGCATGCGAGCGTGTGTTTCCGCTGGCATAGAGTTACTGCGTGTCATCACTTCAGACCAAAACGCCAACAAACCAGCGATGAACGCGAGGCCTGGGACTCTGACAGACACGTCACATCGGTGTGATCAGATCACACTCACACACCGATGACATGAAGATCAGAATAGAGACGGGCCGTTCATCAGCCATTCCTTTATTTTGTGTCTGTCAAGGGACAAATGAATGAAAGACTCGGACTAGATGGGACTAGAAAGAGGTGAAATATTCATTTTTATTTATATTTAGCTGGATTATAATGATTTTTTAAATTTGTAATAAGCCTGAAATATAAAATATTTGCCAATGTCGATTATAAAAAAATAAATAATTAAATTAATATTGCCCAAAATATAAAATATTTGGCAATACCAATTAAATAAATAAATAAATAAATAAATATCGCCCAAATTTCCCACATTTTAAAATATCTGCCCATACGGATTTTAAAAAAAAATAAACAAATAAATAATTGTTGCCCAAAATAGGAAATATCTACCAACACCAATTAAATAAATAAAATGTATTAATTAAATAATTACACAAATACACAAATAAATACATACTTTCAGCCAACAAGCTGAAATATCTGCCCACGCGGATTAAAAATAAAATAAAATAAAATTAATTTAATTTAATTTAATTTAATTTAATTTTAAAAATCCTTCATTATTTCTACATCAATTAAGCAGGTGAAAGGTCTGGAGTTGATTCTAAGTGTGCCAGTTGCATTTGGAAGCTGTTGCTCTGAACCCACATCATGCGGTCAAAGAATCTCTCCATACAAGTGATACAGACAATTGTTAGCATGAGCATGCATGGCTTCCAGTGGCACTGGGTTACTGGTGTTTAGGGTTGGGTATCGTTTGAATTTTATCAGTTCCGATTCTGATTCCGATTCTGCTGATCGATTCCGATTCTTTTCGATTCCCAGTTTCGATTCCAATGTGATTAAATAATGATATCAAACATTTATCCTGTGTCTCTTTTTTGCAAACCATTTATTGGAGCTGAATACCAAGAACAAAAATCAACAGGCTACATAAAAACTGGACTCTTTAAGAGCTGTTTGTGATCAAAATAGAACTGCATGATTCTGGATAAATTAAGGTTGTT